CCAACTCTGACCCCTGAGGAACACTGCTTATTACGTGTCCCAACTCTGATTTCTTCACATTTATGCATCTGTATTACCTGTCTATCAAGAACGCTTTTGTACAGGAAAAAAATTATCCTCCTATTCTATGTGTCTCTACTTTCTTCAACAATCTGAAATGGAGTCTCTGTCAAAAGTCTCAAATACCTTACTCAAAAAGTTAGTACATTCGTAAGACATGAGGTTCAGCTCTTTGGAAAACCGTGCTGAGAATCTTTGATAAATTTATGTTTTTCGAGGTGGTTTCGAATAGCGTCGGAAATTATTAATTCCATCAGTTTTGTCACAATGGAGGTTCGGTTAACTGGTTTATAATAAGAAGTTGTGAACCTGTCTCCTCTTACTTTGTAGACAGGTGTCGCATTTTCCACTTTTCGAGCACTACGCCAGATGTGTTGAAAACACTTGCTAAAGGTTTGCCAAGTTCCTCCTTACATTCTTATAGAACCCTAGATAAGTTTATCAGTGCCTGGAGATTTATCTGGGTTGAATCTATCTATTTGTTTGAGAACCACGTCACTAGTGACCTATATATATATTTATTTCTGGAGTTTCTGTAGAATATTCCTGCATAAAAAGTCGAATGAAAATGAAATAAGTATTGAAGATTGTACACTTCACATCACTGACGGTGGGCTGACCTCAGCAACTTTTATAGGAGTCTATCTTGTCCTTTGCGTGGTTTATATTTATACTTCCTTTAAGCCTTTTCTTATTCAATTGTTTTATTTCTCTTTTTAACTGAACCAAATAAATTTTTAAATTACCTTCTTCCCTATTTAGCCTCCTGTAAGTGTCTCCTTTGATCCGATATGTTTGAATCTATTTTTTCATAAATTAAGGGTAATTTTTTTTTTACTTAATTCCCTATTGGGCAGTTTTAATTATGTTTTAAAATGTCATATTGGCAACTATCATTAACCTACCTGACCCTCCCCCTTACAAAATAATGACGGGTCAGGTAATTACCAGTTCACCCCACCCCACGTAATTTCTCAGCCTTGTAAAATGGCCTAGCAAAAGTCAGGGACATTGACTTGGTTTTAGTTTTTATGGATAATTCTGTGATATATTGAGACTGAGTAATCGTGATTACTTTCTCCAGGTTCATCCTTACATCAAGATATTAATTAATGATTTCTTATTGGCAAGAAACCCAGTCAGGGCGGTGTTGTTTGTTTTTTCCTTTAGTTGGTTCTGTCATAGAATATTTTTAAAAAGCAATCCTGTGTTCGTATCAAGAAATTCTCTAGATTTCCTGTCATATTTCTCCACGTCAGTCTGTCTCAAGTAAAAGCCTATTAACACACATTTTTGGATTCTAGGTAATTTAGTAATTTTATCCCATAAATTTATTTTGCGTTCCCTATCAAGGTTCATGAGCCTGTTAATCACCACCCAAAATTAGCTTTTCACGTTCTTCTTGTGAAACTGTTGCCGTATGACGTTAAAGGGATCATTTCCCGCTAAGACGCCTGTGGGACAAACCTTTCATGCATTAAAATAATTTTCAGTACAGTACGGTGTGAAAAATATGGTGTTCCTTGAACAAATATCGCGTTTAAACACTCGTGATACCTGCGTACAGCTTAGTGATAAAATAGGAGTGATAAGACACGAGGGATATAAACTTTTTTTTTTATATTTTATTTACAAAACCAATTACAGTTTAACATAAAAAATAAAGATAAACAGTATGGAACCTAATCAAGTTAACTGACAAACGGATTGTACTTACATGCTCGCAAGATATTACAACTAAAAACAGTCCTACATCAAGAAACATAACTAAAACAAAATTACATGTCACAGGGTCATGATTGACATAATACAAAACCTGCACTATATATAATTGTACATATAAATGACATTTGACAAAGGTTCAACTCACTTGAACATAAAATATACAAAGAAGTTAATATCAGTTAAATCCCATCCTTCACATTATCAAAAAAACAAAAACTAACATCATATAATTGACTAGATAATCTACATACTATCCCTAACAATACAGCTGAACATAATCACAACATACAAATAAACAGAAAAAGATACAGCTTAGAACACAATAACAAGCTCTTTACTGTTACACCCCACACACCCATATACAAATTTCAGACATATGGACCTTACGTCCTAACTGTCGCAGATATGTCTGCTATACCATACAGACTAAACTGTTAGATATGTCTGTATAACCATACAGACTAAACTCTCAACATCAAGAACTTGCAATGAACACCAAACTGGTATTCAGGGTTCAGACCATAATTACTAAACTTTTAAAAAGAATCAATCATGCATTAATAAAGTATTACATAAGTCTGACCATGACAAAGGCTCAATACAATAGAAAGAAGATTATATTTAAATATATACACATACACACCCACACCCACCATCCACACACACACCCACACGTACACAAAAATTTTCACACAATCACATAATCAGATGCACTGTATGCACATGCTAAACAGTATATAAGTTATCTCATCGTGCAAAAATACTCAGACGTAACAATAAATCAAACTAAAACACACTTCATGTCGCAAAATAACTTATAATCATGAATCATGTTATACAAGACTGATACACATCATAATTATACAAAAAAATTACTCATATTATACTACATTCTGGAAAAGTGTTATATCTACCATAACGAGCCTTGAGCTTACATCCACCACTTGGATGCCATTAAAGTCCCAATGAAAACAGGGAAACCATTCCAAACCCAATTCACAACACTCTCACGACCCCCCACCCCCAGGGAGGCGAGCCCGCTGTTGACCCCTGACTCCCTCCAACCTATGAAAACACCCTTCACTCACTCATATCCAATCACAGATTCTACGGAGATCCATAACGTTAGCATTCTATACCCCTCTGTTCCCCCGAGAAAGCCTGTCCCACCTCCTCCCATACAAATCTCTGTTACGACAACCTCGTACTATTAGAACGTTACGCAAGACCTTTCCTTCTCTCCTCACTATCCCTCTCCCCCTTCATCACCCACGGACATATATATTTAATCTACCATGATATAATCTTAAAGCTCTTATTAACCCTCGTCTAAACCACCCATATCTAGACTTAGAGCACGCAAAACCGACACCCCACTGGCCCCCCACCCTCTGTACCAACCTACTTAACTAAACGCACACCTAACCTCTCTAGCCTTCACAAAAGTTAAACTACATGGATCGCTGTCTCATCCCCTCCACAGATACACACCCCCCACCTCTCTACACACCTGTCTGTTTGTTATATCTCACCAGGACGTGAAGGATCCCATGCGAAATCGATACATCACCTCACGAGCCGAGGTTTTAACTCTCAACTTTACTTAAATCTAAACCAAATACTCTTCCACGCATACATGGGGTACAAACCCTCAACTGGGACAACGGAACCTACCTACAAGTAACCTACACAAAACCCTTATACGAACCTTTCTCAGTTTCCTACCAACATCACAGCCCTCATAACTTTTTCACATTCCCTCAACTCATTCCTCGATACACTTACCCAGCCTGGTAGGGTATCCTTCCCAAACGCCCCGGCGTTTCACACCTCAGCAAACTTCCCATTTAATAACACACATTAAGACCTCCGTCACCAAATCCATACAACCCCAAACCCACCCTCTGACTACAGGTAACATTACAACCTCCCTCCGTAAACCAATCACAACGTGAACCCCTAAAAATTTGTACACCCGTCTTAGTATCCCCGCAATCGCTGTCCTGTAATTGGGAACACAGCCTGCAACATACCAAACCTTACTATACATTAAAATGTTCACGATATCACTCGCTGTATCAGAGTTAGGTGCTGGTGGTCTCAGAACACCTAGAACGCCCCCACGATCCTTTCAACTAACCTATCCGAATTTTCCTCCCGCCGCGCCACC